CTCCATATTGTAAACACAAAGTCATTAATATCAACATTTCTTAAATAAGATTTTAAACGGTCCCAATCAGTCCAATAACGCCAGTGTTTTTCCTCGTTGTAGGTTACACTATTTATGAGTGTTCTTGAGTCATGACAGAACATTTCAGGGTCAAAAACATCCAAAAACATTTTTGGAAATTGTCCTTCGTGTCGTTGTAATTTCTCGCTTGAAGTGAATCACTAATGAATTTCAATGAATTTTCAACAGACTGGCGCATGCGCACGCCAAACGGCCCCTTGTTACTCTGTTCACATATATGCTGAAGTGAATGGCCTGTGAGCTTATGTATCACAAATTGAAGGCAATTGATTGGTGGACTATAATTTATTTAAAGCAGAAGTACAGCAATATATAATTTAATATAGTGTGAAGTCATTAAACCTGTTAAACAAAATTGGACTTTTACAGTGTGATAGAGTCAATGAAGGAAAAAGAAAACAATGCAATTTAGGGAAGGCACGTTTGTTATTGGTGGGTGGGATACGGGAGGAGAGGGGTGGGAGCAATGCATTTCCTGAGGACTATCTGGCATACCCTACAATCTCAAGGCAAAGTAATGATAAACGAGGCAAATTACTTTTAGTGGTATATGTACAGAGAATGACATGCGAAATATTAAACAGGAGGCTATCTTTGACACAATCCTTGGACCTTTMCAGACAATTCCATCCCCCTAACCCCCTAAATGCAATGTTGTYATTGAGCATGCTACCTTGGTGCACAACCAATYAAAGCAAGACCCAACATTGATGAAAGGGGGCTAAGGAGAAGAACTGAGAAAAAACACAGTCGAGGACTTCATGTGGCTAGTGCTAGAAAGCAAAGTAGAATGAATAGAAATAGATCCAAGCGAAAGATTAGTTTCATCATTTTCTTACAAGAAGTGTATGTAAACAAACATTTATTAAATTTGCAAGATTGCATTTTTGTGACGAAGGCTATAAGGACTCTCGTCACTATAGAGCGATATCACATAAGCAATGTCTTGCATGCAAACGTAGTTACTAAAACGAGGAACGACCTACAACGATCTACAACCACCTACAACGACCAATAAAAATCTACAATGACCAAGAATGATCAATAAAAATGTACAATAAACTGCAAGAAACAAGTGAATTTATTTTCGAGTCCACCTCGTTCTGATTTATGCAGTTAGACGCTGATTAAAGCTTGACTTACCTAAAATAATAGAGTAACTCCTCTGAAGTATAAAAAAGAAGTATTCTCGTATGTAATGACAAATTTTCTTCAAAACCAAGACTTTCCTGTGCCAGAAGATCAGACACAGGAAGCCCAAGGTATATTTTTGCTTGTCGGCGTGTGTTGTCTATTTGATTAGATTGTCTTTCCTTTTTCTAGCTTTGAGTAAGCCTTAATCGCATTTCCTAATAGTTCACTATAAACATCCAAACACTAGCAAACAATAGAGAGCAGGTAATCTGAAACAACTGTTCGAGATTTTGGCGCGCTTTTACGTTGGGAAGTGAGTAAAGTGGTCAAAGCTTTTGCAAACAGCAGTATATAGTGGACATAAAATGTATAAAGGAANTCACATAATTTCCCAACTTGTAGCAAAACCTTTACGGCTGTTGTCAGATATTTCACTTCCGTTCACTGAAAAATTCACTTCCGTTACGTCATAATATGCTAATTACAAAAAAAGGTCACGGACATGCGCGACACGTTTCGAACCCCATGCGCCCAGCCGTCAGGGGAGAGAGTATCGCGGGCGCACGAAATCCCGACGGCTGGAGACTGAGCCTAATATGAATGCAAATTATGGCGTGGAATATATATTTTTTTACTTCTAATACATAGTGAAAGCAAGAATGCGGCGTTACTTTCACTTTAATTAATGTACTGTTCAAAACTGTTTATTCACACGATTCTGCAACGACTTCAAAATGATACAAATATCGAGCCAGAAAAAAATATATTTCTAATTTTTTTTTCCAAAATAGCCGAACTTACTGTCTAATAAGAGCGTCTAGTTAAATATGCAAATTTCTTGAGACTTCATGACCTAGAAGGTCATGTAATTAACACCGATAATTCAAATTTTTTTAATGCAATGTTGAAAAGAAAACCTACTTAAAGTATACTTATCGAAGTGTTTTGTACATGAACCAACTTACTAACGATATTTGTACATCTACACCTACTTGCGAAAACGTTGTCATAAAAAATAGGACATTTGTATTTTAGTAAAAAGGAATAAATTAAAAACACAAAAGAAGATCACTGAGGCTGAACGCTTTCTTTTGTCTTGTTTTAATTTATTCCTTTTTTACTAAATTCAAATGTTCTATTTTCTATGACAACGTTTCTGCAAGTAGGTGTATGCGTTTGAGCTTCCGGTCATGTAATAACACAGCCAACCCAAAAGTTAATTATTAAATCATTAACTTCCGGTGGTCCAAACGCGACAAAATGCAAAGATAGATAGATTGGCAAAGAGGTAAAACTCAAGTCGACCTAGCCTTCGGCTAGCCCGACTAACTAGACGCTCTTAAGGCGTGAAGTTGGGCTAGCTTTTTTGAAAATTGAGAAAGACAGGATATTACATGGGTTTGCTAAAGTGAACAAGTGAAAGGCTTTAAACGATAAGATTATGATGTAATATTCAGTCTATCATATGATTATATATGAATGTAAAWTATGGCGTAGAATATTTTTTCAGTTTACTTTTAATACATAGTGAAAGCGTACTTAAGTAAATTAGAGCTATCTCCGAACTATTTCTTTTTGGACWGATCTGTATATCTTTGTCTGCCTTTTCTGTGCTCCAAAATGTCAAAATAATTATAACTGCATTTGCAATTATGCAGACGCGCGCCAGCGGTTTCAGCGCATGCTCGTGCAAATTTCCATCATGCTTACAAGGCGATAGAATACCAATTGTAGAGAGGTCATTTAACCCGTAAAACAAAACTTGACAATTAAAGTGTGATAGCCAAATAGATGCAAAACAAATATACTTAACATCAATATAATTAGAKCGTACTAAGGCGTGTTATTGTTGTACCTATTTCATTCACGGGTCTTGACTTCATCACTTATTTCATAAGTTGGTAAATTCAGTTACAACAAACAACACTAAATTTCACTTTTATCCGTTACCTTTTCATTGCAAACAGAGTATTGAATCAAGTTATGCCAGTTTATTCAGATTGGATAGCAAGAAAACAATATCAATAAAGTCATTACATATTCTCAAGAGTAAAGGTGTCATAATCGCATTTAACTCAACAAACAAAATTTGAGTTCGAAATAATCTGCCCGCTGCTCACCAGCATAATGTTTTCAACTTAACATAAAATTACCCCTGAAATATGCTTCACATAGAAGTTTTGTAAAATCCTAGTAAGTAAACCTGCAATGATATGAATTTTTCAAAACGRGAAACACTTAAAAGAAATGTATGTCTGGGGATACCTGAATACTCAATGGAAGCTTCGGAGCTTTTGCAGAACGTTAAAATACGTTTTACTCTTAAGATTTTTTATGGATAATTGGCCTTGGAAAAAGTATGCTAATGAGTGGCGGGCATTTTGGAAAAAGGACTATTGATCTAAATTGACTAATCTTTGACTGCAATAAGTCCCTCCGACCACAGCGATGTGACTAATTCCATGGCGCTCTCTGTCTCCAATGGTAAGCTCTTAACAGGTATAAAGTCATGTCTTTGACGGTACAAGTAAAGAAGTGCATCTTTATGCGTAAGAGGGAACTTGATGACTGAAGACTGAAAAAACGATAAACCATTACTGAAGGAGTTCTTATTGTACGTTAAACCAAATGTTTTCCAAAAACTAAAGTTTACGGTATAAAACACGATTCACGGTATACTGTAAGTAACACTAGTGAAAATAACAGGATATTACATTGTCGCTTTAAGATACGAATCTCCGCGCGCCCATGTAATATCCTCTTTGTATTGCCTAGTGAGGCTGGCCAGGGGAAACCATAATAGATGTTAAGTGTAACTTGCATGAAAAAAATCACTGGAACAAGGGTTCAACAAGGCCGTTATCGGTTAATTATGGTATGGTTGCAGTTCGTGATTTAGCGAAGTTCTTTGGGTGATTTTTAWATTCAAGATATGAACAGGTCASTAAAACAATAGATAGATGGCACCATCCTTTCAAAAATGRGATTTTAGAGGGGCAACTCGCTGATTGGTCGAGATCGACAACAGTGAAGTCCGTGCGCCCAGCCGTCAAGCGAGAGAGAGTATCGCGGGCGAGTACGAAACCCACACGGTTAAAGCCGAGTCTTATTCATAGCCGGATTTAGAAATCACAATAGAAATCACAACCGTGATGAGTGTTGTAATATTTGATACAAAACTGTCTTGATTTGCATAAACTTCAAATCTAATTTTCTCAGCCAAATTCAATTTTATCTTTAAGTTTTTTAGTAGATTATGAATGTAAACACCTAAACGTTTCACAAGTAATTTACAACATTCGCGTCCGTGTTGTATAGGCTTTACAATCCCATAAAACACGTCCGCTCATGTTGTAAACATTACATGTAAATACAGTAGTCCAGAGCTTTAGATAGAAGCAGCATTTGAAAAGGAAAACAAAATTCAGTATTAATCAGGTAATGACAGAGTTAAGTGAAAATACTTGCCTGTTGAGGACCCATCATGTGAGTAGAACGGTTGTTATTGAGGGAATGGTTGACAAAAACCCATGGTCCATCGTCGTYTTCTTCGGAATCTCCGTCATCCTCGTCATCCATGTCGTCTGTGTCTTCATCTCCCAAATCAAAACTTTCATCATCTTCGTCATCTTCCTCATTGTCACACTCAWTACCTAAAAATATTTTGTGCAATTTCTTACAAAATGTTTTACGGATATATTGAATACACTCTAACAAACTTGGAGGGTTGATATCTAGCAATATTTTTTTCTTCTTTTTAATGATAACAATTATTTTATGGGCCCAAATTTCGTAAGTACAATGTAAACAAAAAAAAACGTTTTTGCTCGATAATTCAGAATCTACCTATTTGATGTAAATATATATCGAATCTGATCAACTATAAATGATTTAGACCTCGAGGCCGAGTGGACTACGAGCTGATAGCACATGAGACCGAAATTACCATACTAGTTGGACAAAAAAGTGAATGAAATATGTAAATAACAAAATGTTTTTAATTTCATCTTGATTTCATTCAATGGTCTTGACAAGTCTTGTAACTGAGGAGGTTTTCGATAATGATAACAATGATGGTGATGTAAGTCAACAGTATGAAGTAAGCACACTCACTGCCCATTCAGATGTAAGATGTGGTCAGTGAGATCATTCAATTGTTTTGCTGGGTGGACCGGCGAGGATGTGCCACCGCTCTACCATCTGTTAATTATTATCTGTCAATTATCGGAAAAACCTCGAGAAATGCGACTGTTTACGAAAGGTCTCGAAGTCTATACGAAAACAAAAACGATAGGAGGGGGGGACACTATATCTGAGGCACACATCGATCCATCACGTGACCAGTGTTTCACACATTGTCATAGACTAGTTTTTTATCCCATGGGATCATTTATGACGTAATACCACAGGTAATTCGCATTTTGCCAAGAACACACGCCAATAACAAAATTGATTGGGCAATGATAGAAACGTTGTCATAGAAAATAGGACATTTTTATTTAATGACAAGGAATAAATTAAAAAGACAAAAGAAGATGTTCTATTTTCTATGACAACCTTTCTGCAAGTAGGTGTATATCATTTTTAGTATAAATAGAAGCTCTTCGAATGTAATTATCTTATACAACTGAAGATAGCATAAAGGTCCGTTTATACTTGCGATTTTTGCAGAGCGATCATCGCGTCGATGGTCGCGCGACCATCGCCTGATTTTCGAACATTCGAAATTGGCTGCAACTTCGCGGCGATTTTCCATCTCAGGGCTGTTTACACGTACGATTTTAGTTGCGCGATAACAAAGTGGCGATTATCGCGCTGCAAAAATCGCAAGTGTAAACGGGCCTTAAGGATGCCGAAATGTCTTGTTATAAACTCAAATCTGTCGTCTTATTTAAAAGTTTAACTCAGAATCGAAATGAATTCCTGTAATTATTTACCTTTATCATCATTCGTCTTTTTAAGTTCGTCGTTGTCCTTTTCTTTTTTGTGTTTTTTTGATTTCTTTTCTTTGCTGTCGCTCTTGTCATCGCCTATGCTCTTTGCTTTCTTTGATTGTTTCTTATCTTTTGTCTTTTTGTCTTGTTCGGTACTATTTCTCTTCTTTTTGCTCTTTGAACATTCATCGCTACTTTTCACCTCATCATCATCACTACCGGTCAATTCCATATTACTCCTGGCTTTTACTTTCTCTCGCTTTGTCTTTCTGGCTGACTGCGTCTTTGATTTTCCTGATTTTTTTGGCTTGGCCTCTTCTTCACTTTCTTCCATAGCATCGTCCTACGGAAATCCACAAATGAAATCAGTGCATACGACAAATAATAGCTACATTGAATTTCTTCCCAGACTCATTGAATTTCTTCCCAGATTTTATGATACAAGTCAGTATTCTTCTTTAAAGAGACCGATTTTTAACTTACAGGCTCCATTTTCTCAGTGCTTTTGCACAACTAGATACACAGAGGATAATCGTATACTTGATATTTCCCATGATATGATACTAACTTCATCAACTCATTCAGAATAACAGTTATAAAATGCAGCGACTTTATTTATTTATTTATTTTTTCCACGTCGCAGTATAGCAATCCCAAGGGACCCATAATCCAAGAGCACGTCTGAAAAATTCTTATTTTTTTCTTTCTTTCTTTTTTTTTAACTGAAATATTGGTGTTCTAGTCATATTAGATTTTTATCGTAGCAATTTGTTTTATTAATATATACGAGCTGCGTTTATTAAATTTTAGAAACAAGATGATACTCGAACAGCTGCGTCGAACAGAGGATCGCGTGTTCAAATCTTGTCTCGAGCACTTTTTCTTTCTTTTTCAATATAATATAGTTGCTATAGTCATCTTGATTTTCTGTAGATTTTGTTTAATAATTATTTTTGGGCCATTTTTTTTTAATTTAACACAGAATATTATATTCGAATAGCGTCGAACTTAGGTTCTCGGCCTTGATTCTCGACTCATTTTTTTTTCTGCCTTTTTAACTGAAATGAACTTGTTATAGATATAGAGGATATTACATGGCCGCGCGGAGATACGGATTTTATCTTCGAGTCTTGAAAAGATCTCTCATAAATGAGCGTAGCGAACGAGTGAGAGATTTTCAACACAAAAAGATAAAGTTCGTATCTCCAAGCGACCATGTAATATTCTGTTTATCACATAATAAATATAAAAGCAAATTATGTCGTAAAATATATTTTCTTCTTAAGTCCACTATATAGCGAAACCTCGAATGTGTTATTTTCACTAGTGAAGGTGTTACTTTCACTAGTGAAAATACCAACTTTACACAATAGAGAAATATAGTATTTCATAGTTAATTATAATGATAATGACTTTAATCCTCAAAATATCAAATTGATACATAGGATACAAATGTTAACAATACACCTAATAAGATGTTAAAAAATATAATTACAATCATAAAGGAATAATTATATATTAATTACATTCATCATTATATATACTTAAAACTTCAAAACAATATTTGGAAAATAATTTTGTAATAGATTCATCTTTCATTGACAAAAGATATTTAAAAAGATCAAAATCATCAAATACATTGAAAACTTGGTTTATCAACCCTAGGTTTTGTAAAAATGTTTTCCTTAATATCTCAAGTTTTTCAAATTTGCAAGACATAATGTAATGAAATTCATCTCCTACAGAGGTCGAGCCACATAAATTACACTTCCGGTCATCATAAGCTATTCAGTTCTGATAGCGACCAGATTCAACAGGTAACTTATGGGCTGAGACTCTTAATTTTGTCACTGCATAGCGATGCCTTACATTACTAACACTATCAAGATAATTTTCAAACTTGAAATTTCTCTTTATTTTGCAATAGGTACGAAGTTTCCCACTTTCATTACCTTTTTGTAACTGAATGTCAAAATACAGAGAATAATAAGTTTGTAATTTAGATTTGATGAATTTTCCAAAACTATGTAGTTGATCWAAAGGAACTTTTAAATCCTTGAGCGATTTTAGATCACACAAAGAAGATAATTTGTAAAAATAACTCCTTGTTGATTACTTTGCTTGCAATAATTACATGTAGCTGCTTTTCCAACAAGAGTAGATTCAAATGAGGGATTATTCAGTACCCGCATCCAATACTTTGCCACTAAAGTTGAAATCTTAATAATCAATGGCGCTCTTCCAAGTTCCCCATAAATTGTAACGTTGGTCGATTTTTTATGTACTCCTAGTACACGTTTTAAAAATCTTAGATGAAGACCCTCAATATCATTAATCAYAMTAAAAAACTTTTGTTTGAAGATATYATAAGACGAAGTTTTATTTAAAAGATAAAYTCCCCATATTTCACAACCATAAAGTAAAATAGGGACAACTAGAGAGGAAAAAAGCTTTAGTAAAACTTAAACGGGAACATTTCTGCATTTGAAAGATTACTCATTAGGCTATGATATGCCCTTAATGCCCTGTTATATAAAGACTTAATCGCTAAATTAAAATTGCCATYATAGTGAAAAGTTAGACCTAAGTAAGTATATTCCTCAACAATATCTAAACTTTGACCATTAAAAATCCAACACGAGGTTTGATGTACACGTTTCTGCACCGGCGARCAAAAAACTAAAATCTTAGTCTTTTTCAAATTCACATTTAATTTCCACTTTTTGCAATATGATTCTAGTTTTTTTAGACTATTCTGTAAACCAGCCTCACTTTCCGATAAAAGTACTRAGCCATCAGCATATAAGAGGCAGTTTATTTTGGAATCCCCAAGTTTAACCGGATCGCATGAATTAGAAAACAGACTAGGTTGATGAAAATATTAAAAAGAGATGGGCTGAGATTACAGCCTTGTTTTACTCCAGTGAATGACTGGAAAAAAGGAGTGACACCTTGTTCTAATTTTACAGCTGCTTTAACAGAAGAATTCATACTTAACAAAATAGCTAAAAATTTCCTACTACAACCATATTCAATTAGTTTATAAAACAAGCCTTCTCTCCATACACTATCATAAGCTTTCMTAAAATCAACGAAACAAGTGACTAGAGGTTTATTACGTGATTTATAAAAGTCGATAATAGTTTTAAGAACTAGAATATGATCTGAAGTTCGAAAGCCATGTCTGAAACCAATTTGATAATTGTTCCAAATGTTATTAGATTCTAAAAAGAAATTCAAACGTGAATTTAAAATAAGAGTAAATAATTTCCCAAGACAACTACTTACGCAAATGCCTCTATAATTACTAGGATCACTCTTGCTTCCTGATTTGTGTATAGGAACTATGAAGCCTTCAGACCATGAACGAGGGAAAACTCCTTTCGATAAAACTTCATTAAATAACTGAACATAATAAGGCGCAAGACTAGAAAGGGAAGATTTAATAATCTCATTTGRTAAGGAGTCTCTAGCACATGCTTTTTTATTCTTCAATTTCTTKGATAAATCCAAAACTTCTTCCAGTGTAATAGGTTTATCAAGAATTATATTAGAATTTGAAGCCCAAATATGATAGTTCTTCACTATCATAGCCTCGCAACTGGAATTTTCAGATACCAAATAATAAGCTTTATTGAGTTCACAAAAGWAATTAAACCACTCTAGATGTGAAATGTCACCTAGGTTATTARAAGAGTTTTTCGCCGACCTAATAGACTTTTAAAACAAGTTTCCAGAACTCTTTTGGTTTACTATCTGCCATAACCTTAATGTTGTTTAAAATATTGTTATGAAATTTTCGTTTTAGATTCTTAATTAACCGTTTGTATTGTCTTCTTTTTGCAAAAAACTATGTCTTAGAAGTACATTATTTGGCTGACTAGAGAGTAATTTACCCAGGTTTCGCAATTCCTTTTTTAAACAATGGCAGTCTTTTGTGTACCATTTCTGTTTTTGTGTTGAATTTGACCTTTTCTTTTTAGGTTTTTTAGTAGGAATGATTGATTTTGCTACTCCCATCAAAATAGAAGTAAATTTATTGACTATATCATCAATGTCATTAACTGATTTTGAAAACACCCCGTCCAACTCAGATAGAACATTTTGATTATTTTTAAAAAGCTTCTTTTAACAAGTCCTCATTCCATTTCAAAGAAGTAGGGTGAACTGTTAATTCAACTGTATCAATAGCCTGCTAACCAGCGTTCCTGCTGGGGGCCGCTCCTCTCCTCCCCATTCTCTCTCGGCCCCCAGCAGGAACGCCTGTTAGCAGGCTACTGTATCAAAATTAAATTCTGGTAACGGAATTTTAAGGACAAAACGCAAAAAAGAGTGAAAAAAAGAGTGAAAATTCCGAAATATAAGACACATTAAAATAATCCACTAGAGAATAAATATTTTGGGAAACAATAGCATAGTCAACTATACTTGAACCATTGTACATTTSACAAGTAAACTGACCAATTAAGTCACCTCTACATCTACCATTTAAAGTTACTAAACCGTTTCCACAACARAGTTCAGCTAATTGTTTTCCATAGCTGTTAGTACACACATCTCTTGATAATCTTTTGTTCAAATTAAAAGAAGGACCGATACTGTCCAAAAAGCATTATCGATATTTTCATTAAAATCACAAAGATTCCCCATTCTAGCATTAAAGTCGCCACATAAAATTATTTCACCTAAACTTTGAAATTTATAAATTTTATCTTGAAGAATTTCGAAGTGATCTTGATTAAGTCTTCTCTCCCGTGAAGAGTTTTGAGGGGGAATGTAGACAGAACAAATAAAAATATCAGATCTTAAATTAAAAAAGTTTTTATCTAATTTCCACCAAATAAAGTTTTCACAACTATCTGCCGAAAAAAATTTAACACCTTTTCTTAAAGCCGATTTAACTAATACTGAAATACCTCCTGACTTTCGAACAGCATTTTTGGGTATTTTCCTACACATCGAAAAAGAATAAAAACCATCAAGATTTAAATCATTACCATTACAAGATAACCATGTTTCGACTAATACAACAAAGTCAAATTGATTAATCGTAGAAATAAAATCAGCTTCATTGAATTTACTCAGAAGACCTTCAATATTCCACGAACAAAATTTTAACGAATTACAGCCCAAACTCGAATTAGTAAATAAATTCGGCATAAAGAYAGAAACAACATAATTAACTCCTACAGTCAAAAAAAAAGAAGAAGAAATAAAAAAAAGGAAATGACAATGAAAATAATAATAATAATAAAAAAACACGCGCAGATCATACCATCAACCATTACCCCTGTGGAATACGTCCAACAAAGGGATTTGAAACCAACCCAGGTGGCAAAGATG